CTGCTCAGACGGGGCTAAATTGGGTAGCAGCCCTGCCAATTGCATTGATGATAATAAGATGTTGTGTTAATCAATCCACAGGTTTCACACCATATGAGCTGTTGACAGGACGACAGTTTCCAGGTCCTTGGACAACAGTTCCGGTGGAAGAAAGTATAAAAAGTAACAGAAAACATATTGAATGTTGGAAAGAATTAAAAGCTCTTGTGTCTAGTTTCACACAACAGGTTGGAGAAGGGGTGAAGGCGGAGGACAGGTCCATCCCCGAGGCCAAGGCGGTGTGGCTGAAGGTCATTAAGCGAAAGTGGAGAGACCCGAGGTGGACCGGACCCTTCGAAGTAACTGCCCGAACCACCAGTGCTGTCCGTCTGAAGGGGAAAGGGGAGACTTGGTTCCATTGGTCTCAGTGTGCAGTCGCGGACGAGAGCTTGCTGGAGCTAAGCTCCACCCCAACTAACCCAGGGGGAATATAGAGGCAGAATAATCCTCTCCCCCTGGGCACGGCCCTCCTCAGTAGTCTAACCTGAGTTGAGGTGAAGAAAGAAGAGGAGCGGCACACGTCAGACAATTCATTTTAGGCTCCTAAATAGGCTAGGGCTCTAGTCTGAAGTAATTGATAGTTTAAAGGAATCTTAATAGTTTTGTACGTTAATCACATACTTTTATACTTATAACTTTATATTCTTATTACGTAGCTTAGAGTAAAAGTAAAACGAGCCTGGGAGCAGCATGAAATTGTGGGAAAATTGGAAAATAATGGGGGTGCTGGGGTTAATAAGTGTTATAACGTGTTTCTTTGTTTTTTGGCAGACAGGTGAATTGCCCAGACGCAGAGGTCTATCCGCTCCAGAGCCCAAACCGATCAAATCGTCGAAAAAAGTCAAGCGTGCGGTTGGTTCAGGTGGGGATGATGGGTGTCTCAAAGCCAGTGGCGGAGTCGAGTTTGGGTATGTTAATGGGTCCACGACGGCGTTCACATTCGATTTGTGTGAGGTAATTAAATGCTCGGGTGACGGTAATAGCTGGAGGACATATAATGTGTGGGTTTGTTATCATCCAATGATGTGTTACCCTAAGTCGGTGTGGGGCCCATCATGGGATAGTGACATCTAAACTTATATAACGGATCAGTGGTGTTCTTGGCAGGATGTGGTCGCGTGGACAGGAGTAGGATGGCAGCCAACAGTGCCACTGGCCCTCGAAGGAATAGCTATTCAGAGAGATTATTCTGTTACAAAAAATCCTATCACTCTTTCCCTAGGACCATGGAGTGAACTCCCTGAACCTGGGTTTGATGGAGGTGCGTTTTATCTAGTAGTAGGGGTAGATAAAGTAGGGACAGATCCATTCGGGTTAATTCGGGTGAATTTATTCAATCCCAGGTCTAAACCGCTGGGGAATGACTCTGCACTGAATCTCACAGAGTAAATGGATCCCTTAGAGACAGTTACTTACAAGGACTCAGAAGAGAAATGGTTTGTTGCCACTGATTATACTAGGTTAAAACCTCAGGAGTTGATAGAGCGTGCCACAGGTTTCGGAGATAGGAATCTTTGGTTAGATTGGGTGGCTCAAAATGCTAAAGAGCAGGAAGTGGTTGATTGTGTTGCTTGTGCTACCGCTCGACCTCATTTGTTTACTGAACCCGCTCCTCTGTATCCAGAGGATGAGTGGGGTTATAATTGCATGCTGAGATTAACTAGAGGGGCGGTGGACACAGGTAACTGCACCACTTTGTCAGGTTTATATCCGCCAATTGATAAACGTACACAACCAGGTTCATTCACACCAAAACGAGATAATTATACATGTTTTGAGTTCTCTACAGACAGAGTGAGATTTATGGTAGGGAGGATTGATCCAAGCTGGTGTCAGAGGACGATCACAGGTAGGACTACCAATGATGTAAGTGACCCAAGCACAATTATAGGCACCTGGGCGAGAGGCGGGCTATATTATTATTGTGGGGAGTACACCCTTTTGGTGCAGGTTCCCTTGGGGAGTGTGGGAACATGTGCTTTGGTGAGCTTAGGTGCACCTTTGATGCTCATAGGAAGTAGGCTAGAGACAGTTCCACAGCGAGGCGCGGATGTGTCAACAGCCAGACGACGGAGAGCCACAGGGGGTATCCACAGGTATGATCCAAGACGGGACTCGCCAACCTGGATTGACTCAATAGGAGTTCCCAGAGGAGTTCCAGATGAGTATAAGTTAGTTGATCAGATAGCGGCCGGCTTTGAAAGTGTGTTTTTGTGGGTAACTCCAAATAAAAATGTTGATCGCATTAACTATGTTCATTATAATGTGTTGAGACTCTCTAATCTCACTACGGACGCGGTGGAAGGCCTTGCAGAACAATTAGGACCGACGTCGCTAATGGGAATCCAAAATCGAATGGCGCTGGACATGTTATTGGCTGAGAAGGGGGGCGTGTGCACGATGTTTGGGGACTTATGTTGCACCTTTATTCCCAACAATACTGCTCCGGACGGAACGGTCACGCGGGCGCTGGAGAATCTGAAAGCGTTATCTAGAACCATGCATGAGCAATCAGGCGTGAACTCGAGGCTGGGGGACTGGATCACATCTGTTTTTGGGCAATGGAAGGGTGTGTTTATGTCTGCCATGTTTTCTCTTTTAGTTTTTCTAGGTATATTGCTGATCGGGTGTTGTCTCATTCCTCTGGTAAGGCAGGTGTTGGGTAATCTGGTGAGCAGGGCCATAGCTTCTGGTTCAGCTGGGTCAGCTGGTCCGGAACATATGATGCCGTTGCGGGAGGCCGCCTGGACGGAGGAGTGAAACAATATCTGGGTAAAAGTTGGCCTTTTTTCTAAAGGCCAAAGTGGAGGAGTGTGCCCAGGAGATATTTTATTTTGTATTCTTATAATCAGTTATCATTGATTAATCATTTACCATTGTTGAATCAGTGGACAGAATAATCTTTGAATCACATCTATGTTACTTTGAGCAAATATTAATGCACACAGATGATCAGTACTCTAGTCAGTCTATTGAGGTTCTGCATTAGTCTTGTTATCTGCTTAAGTTGTTGCACCTCAGTGCAGTCACACCGCTCAGGCCCAGTCCTGTTGGACCCAGGCCTGTCTGCGTTCAGTTCTGCACGTACGCCGGCCTGTAACCACATGCACGCACTTATATAACACACGCACGTTCACATACACATTTAGTAATAATAGGAGGGTCGTCTGAGGACAGTTTTTCTGATAGATACACTTTCACAAAATGCACAATGTAATACACACTTGTTTTTCTCTTAAGAGTAGCAGTTGATGTCTATATAAGGAAAACTCTTTGAGAGGTGGGGAATTGTTATCATTTGTAATCATTTCCAGTAAAGATCCAACTGTGATGTCATAATGGCAATATAAGGAGACGGGACGGTCCATTCGACGAAGGATTGTATTGCAAATTGTCTTTCCCACACTGACTGCGCAAAGTGTGTAATAAAGATCACTATTTTTGACACCTACAAGGACTGGGCTTGCTTTCTTCTCTTCCCTGAATCGAACGAACCTTTAACAATGGTTTTTCTAAGTTGAACGGTTTTGAAGGAATTAGATGCCAAAAAACGTACGGAATATATAATAATAACTAGAAAGTGCATTTTCTGAAGAAACTGCAGTGTGAATGCTTGAATCTGAATGTATGCACTGAAATGAATTAATTGCTGAATGTTAAGTTAAAAATAAAAATTCTGAATGAGCTGGAAAATACAGAATTTTTAACCTGGAAACAAAAGTGCAGAACTTTTGAAAGCTGATGTTCACACAGAAGAAGTTGGAAAAAAGCTAAACATGTTTAAAATGTAAATAATAAAAAGATGAGTAATGACAAAAGAAAATTTAGAGTCAGAAAACCTCTGAATGAATATTAGACGTTCAAATTCTTCTAACTGAAATGAACTTAAAAGATGAACAAAAATTCTGGAGAAAATACAAACTTTAATATACAGCATAATGTTTTTCAGACATGTACACATGTGTATATCATGTTTAATAGTATTACATACATCAATTTGTTTTGTATGTCATAGAAAATAACATAAAAATCTTAAATCATATTTTACAGCTTCTTTCTGAAAAGGACTAGTAGAATAAATAAAAATAACTAAATTAAATAACTAATTAAAAAATAATAAGCAACATATGAAATACATGAAAATTCAACTTTTAAAACCACAATCCTGAACCTTTAAATTGTGTTGGTTTCTTAGAACATGGCTGAACAGCTGTTTCTATCGGTCTACTTAATCTGTCTACACATCTTTTTATTACTCATTCTTCTTTATGTTTTAATGTAAACAGAGTCCACACAGTGGTAAAAGAGAACTGTATAGAGAATTTTGAGTACACTCAAATGAAAGCGTAAGGTGGTGACACAGTTTAACACATGCAAATAATCAAATAAGCACATTAGTCCTTTTTGTGAACATGGATAAATAAGGATCAATAGTTTACAGCATTGTTCAGCCATGCCACTAAATGCTTTTTTACACATTGTTTTAACCTGGGTTCAGACACAAAGTCCCAAATTGAGTTAGTCCCTGACTTTGAGTTGTGGTTATGACTAATTATTATACACGAGGCTTTATCTATCTGAACTCTAAGGACTCAAATATGAAAAACCTATACTTACCAGCTGATACTCCACACTACACACTAGGTGTGCCATGTGACCTGAAACTTTGGTACAAACTCATCATAATCATTCTGTTAACACTGTTTTTTAACGCTGTTTGTGTTGCTGTTCAGCAGTTTAAAATGTTTTAGATTGGATTACATGGAATGAATTTGAATTTTCTTGGGGGGTTTTTGTGTGTGTTTTGTTCTTAGCAGATTTTTTTTCCATACTGTTGAATTCCAGTTACCACATTTCTGGTCATATGACATCCCGAGTGCCCACTTAAAAAAATCCCCACAGTTAATTCAACATTAAAACAAAATAAAAATATGTTAAATAAATAATGTGATGAAATATTAAATAAGCATACATTGTACAGAGCACTAACAATGAAAACAATCCTTTAGCCTGTTGATCAGAGAGAGGCAGTCATTATGTCCATTTAAAACCTGTAATCACAGAGCACAACGTTTCTGTGAAACTATAAAGTCCCATATGTTCCTCATCATGTCCAGTGACTTCAGAGTGGATCCTCCCTGTCATCCGGCCAGTGTTTGATGTGTGGCAAGCAGCACAGAAGCAGGATAGCTGAGGACTTTAAAAGAAGAGCAGAAAACGGGAACATATGTAGTTGTAAATGTAAATATCAGTGATACTTGTCTTGTCAAAGGGAATAAAATAATGAAAATGTTAACTTACACACTCATTTAGGGAGGATCTTGACACTGCACAGAGGAGGCACAGTCAGTCTGACAATGATGGTGATCTCCAGGGATGTTTTTCTGCAGCAACATTCCTGCCAACTGGCCGTATGATCCAGAGTAGTTGGTTTGTAATGAACAGAAAGGTGTATATGTTAGGTAGTGTGCACTCAGAGCTGGTCCTAAGAAACAAACACATCCTGTAATACACTGAATACCTGTAGTAGTGCTGCTGCAAATATGAAGCCCTTCTATCATGAGTGGTTTCAAAGAAGGTGTTTTGGAGGCTCAGTCACAGAAACTGTGCAGTCTGTTCAGTCCTGAGTGTCTCAGCTCTGAAGGGGATGGATCACAGAGGGAAACACCTGAGTACAGACATTACAATACACTCTAACACTCCTAAGGTCAAGTGAAAACACAATTTAAACACTTTACAAAGAATGAATACATGTTTTCATGGAAATAATGTCATTAACCCTTTTTGTTGTTAGTAAATCTCACCGACTGCTTGTGGGACAAGCTAGAAGGAGGACTTATCACAGAATCTCTCCTGTGCTCCAGATGTGAAGTCTCACGCTCTGATCGTATGGCGATGAAGATGGTGATGATGAAGTTTCTCTGATCTGTGGCATTACAGTTTCTAGCTGCTATGTGCTTCACATTGTTGGATTTTACATGTGAAGATTGGAGAAGACACAGGAGGACCGTGTCTCGCTTAAAAAAAAAAAAAAAAAAAAGGAAACCTAACAGGAAAGGAGCCCCCCCCCCTCAACTCCCACCGTACCACCCCCCCCCCCCCCCTCCCACTCAACTCCCCAACCTCACACCATCCAATGTCTATACAAATGTAGGGTAACAGCTGGTAACAGAAAGCAAGTGTTACATATGTACTACTTATGTAACACTGCTGAAACATTTCTGGCCAGAAATGTGCAGTTATCAACCCAGACCCACCCTGATGATTGCACTGGCCGAAATATGATAAAAGCTCATAAAAATTTATGTTTCATAGAAAAATTTGTCCAAAAATATAATCGTATACTTTTGAAAAAGTTTAAAGTTTATAACAAACCAAAATAATAACATTTTTGTAAATAGTATTTCAAAATAGAGGCACACATAAAGTGGCTTAACTGTCATTATTGCTGTAATTAGGTTTGTTTGTTTGTTTGTTTGTTTGTTTTTTTAAAAAGCAACCTTTAGTCATTGTTGTTCGCTCAGAAACAATGAAGAAGCTGTTGAAGATTTATGTGTTGTGTGGGCAATCCTCTGGTCCACCCTCCCTCCCTCCCAGCCACAGTGAGACTGGGGCAGCCTGGCAGGATGTTGAAGCCTGGCTGCAGAGAGGATATGCCTACACTATTCATTTTAAACTGCTATATTTGATTTTTCTGACATTTATAGGTTACTGTTAGTGAATTTTAGATTTTCTGTGATTAAAAAAATTGTCATCTTTTACTGATATCATTACTTAATTCATGTAATTGTATTTTATGTAAACAATTCAACCATTATACTGCAATGCAGGGCGTCAACTTTTAAATATCGCTCTACTTTCTTAAGTCATTCAAAAATATAGAAATTACTTACTGTAGTCAATGATCTAGATCATGAATCATCACAGGACAATACACAGTATACTGGGTCATGGTAACTATGGTAGGTCTTCATGACTCCAGAATGGAGACATCGCTCTGGCTGAGAAATGAAAATAAGGTCAAGCAGTGTGTTCTTCTCTGTGGTAGGGGCAGTGATGACCTGTGCGTATCCCCTAGACTCAAACAGCTCCAGGATTGGTTTGTTTGCACTGGATAAAACATTCTCATTAAAATCACCACAAACTATGATGGGATGACAGTCCATGATCTCCAATGAGTCTAATAGGCTTACCAGGTTTTTCAGGAATGGCCTCAGAGTGTAGTCTGGAGGTCTGTACACAACTGCAATCAGAGCACTGACTGGTGCTTCAACCTTTAAAGCCAGAAATTCAAGGTCAGTTACATTATGGATGTACTGTTTTTCATGCACTTGAATGTCACTTTTCACATAAACAGCAACTCCACCACCACTTCTGTTTGCCATCTGGGGAAAGTTTGTGTAGGACAGGTGTCTGTTGCGTTTGAACAAATTGTAATTTTCCAAGTGGAGACTCTCTGCGACAAAAGAGCCCCGCAGGTGTGTTTCTGTTAGGCACAAAACATCTGCTAGACACAATTCATGGTGACTTTTGATGTCATTAATGTGAGCTGGCAGTCCCTCTGTATTATGATGAACAATGGTGAAAACCTCTGACCTGCTGAGGGTTTGTCTCACGTGTAGAAGAGGCATCATGTCATCAAGGTTGGCTTGTCTCATGTTCTCAAGCGCTGCAGTGATTTCTGGGTTGGTGAATATTTTTTTCTCCTCCATATCAAGAAGATACAGTCCACTGAGAGACGTCACTCTACTGACAGCTACGTAGGCCATGCCGGGCTCAAAAATGCTCTTAAGAGAGACAACAGCTAATGTAGTTGTCATACCCTGTACCTTATGTATTGTACATGCAAAGGCCAGCTTCACTGGGAACTGTCTTCGTACCACTCCTTTCTGCTTCAGATTCTCTTCTGCTCTCTCAATGTACACCATGTCGTCTGCTGGTGTGCGGTTATTCTTTCCAGATGTCTCATTATCCATTTTAAGTCCAAGCTTGATGATGTGTTGGTCGTTTTCAGAGTGAACTACTCTAAGTAGTTTTCCAAAAGCTCCATTAACCAAACCATTTTGTATGTCAATGTTTCTGGTGAGCATGACACGAGCTCCTTCTGCAACTTTCAGTGTGTCTGGTAACTCGTTTTTACCTCCTTTCAATGGTCTGTCTTGAAGTGCCATTCTGCAAGTTCTAGGATCTTTTCTATAATCATCTGCATGGATGTCAATGATATGAGTGTGGAGCAGAGCCAGTGTTGAAGAGTTGTGTGCATCCACTTCTTTATTAGTTGCAAAAATGTGCAACGCATCAGTCGGACAAAGGGCTGGTTCAGTTATGGCCTGTGACAACAAATTTCTATCTGCTTCGCAAAGCTCATCCAACTTTCCTTTTACACGAATTCTGTTCAGCATCTCAGCAAAGACAACATCATCTTTCTGACGCATAATCTCAGTCAGAGTGATCATCTGAAAATGCTCCTGCCACAGGTCGATCTCGGACGGGTCGTGCACACAGAGAGGTTTAGACTGTCGCACTGGGGGTAGCTGATAGAAGTCTCCGACAGCAATGACTGACATGCCTCCAAAGGGTCTCCGAGTCCCTTTGATCTGTTTGAGTCTTGCATCTACATATGCAAAGAGATGTCTTGACACCATAGACACTTCGTCAATGACGATTATTTCAGCATTCAAAAGTTCTGATCTGACTTCATCCAGCTGATTGCCAAGTCCCTGAATGGGAGGTTTTAAGCTTCTCGGGAGCTTGAGAAGAGAATGCAGTGTTGTTCCAGAAATGTTAAAAGCTGCAGTCCCAGTGAAAGCAGTTAACAGGACAGTGGGTTTTGATATGTCAACGTCGTCTGCATATCTGGGCACTTTGCTCAGTATCTTAGATGCTTCTGAGTAGATGCATTTGATAAGATGTGATTTTCCTGTTCCAGCACCACCATTAATATGTGCATTGAACGCCAGTGTCCTACAGAACTCAGTCTGTCTGTTCTTGTTTTGTTTCTATGGCTGTGAAGCAGTTTGAGCCCTCACACGTGATACTGGGCTGTACAAATACACTGAACTGCACTAAAATAAAGGATCGTTGTGATGATTTTGGTCAAGTCACCTGTGAGTGATTTTAGTGTTTTAATGCAAACAGGGTCAGGACGACCTGCGACAGGACGCAGTGATGCAGCAGGTCTTCGGCATGTGCTCCATGCTGCTGCAGCGCAATACAGACACACGCAAGAGGAAGCTCAACATCAGACGATACAAGGTTCCCCGATAGACGCACATCTGTGGCACTGCTTCACATTTGCTTTCATCTCTTTTTCCCTTCGTTGCTTAAAAAAAATTTGTCATATACTTGATTCCAGGTGGTGCCTTTCTCACAGCGCAGTGGCGTGTTAGAGTGGTGCTCTGGGACGGTGCCCATCGGGGAGTTTCTGGTGGAGCCCAATAAAGGAGCTCACAAACGCTTCCGACCCCAAGATTGGGCCAGCCTAGCCTGCCGGAGGAAGATGTTGGTATGGCGATGCTGACAGGAAAACACTTGCAACATGGCAACACATGCTTGCTATGGGTTCAGAACTCACAGCTGTAGTTTTTGTTGGGCTGTCACTGCAGGACGCTCAGAGACTTGCATTCGACGAGAAGCTGCAGGCCTACAACGAGGTGTGCACGAAGTTCAGGCCGGTCTTTAGGTATTTCTGCATGGAACGGTTCCTGGATCCCGCAGTGTGGATGGAGAAGCGGCTGGCTTACACTCGCAGTGTGGCCACCTCCTCTATAGGTACACCGTCTCACAGAGTAAAGCTCATTATGTACTGTAAATACAAGATGCCACAAACTGAAGGGCGACATATAATTGATGTGACTTGAAACTAAAGTGTTGGTGTTGATTATTATTAAGGTGATTCATGGATCCCGGTTTGCTTTGTACATAAAACACCACCTTTCACCTCAGCGTGTCAACATTTTGTTGTCAGTTGATGTCCAGAGTTGAAAGAAAACATTTATCAGTCATGACACAGAATTAAAAAATATACATTAAATATACACACAACGAGATTTCATATTATCTCCAAACGACGATCCAGTAATTGTAAAAACAAACCTTCTGTTTTCTGTTTTGTGTCCACAGTTGGCTACATCGTGGGTCTGGGTGACAGACACATCCAGAACATACTGATCGACGAACAGACTGCAGAACTGGTGCACATCGATTTAGGTATTCTTACACCAAGAAGGTCACTCTTTGTTTCAGAAAATGTTTTTATTCCTCCAGTGTGGATGCCCCTTTTTCTTCACTGTGTGTGTTTTTGTTGTTGATGTTTTAAAGGTGTGGCCTTTGAGCAAGGCAAGATCCTCCCCACCCCTGAGACTGTCCCCTTCAGACTCTCCAGAGACATTGTGGACGGTATGGGCATCACTGGAGTGGAGGGAGTTTTCAGGAGGTTAGCTCACGATTATGCTCAGATGTTGCTCTTATTTGTCAGCAGTGGTCTGGGACCTTCAGGCCCTTTTATACTCATACATGGAAAACTGGAAGTAAAGACTCTGTGACAGAGCACGGCAGGCAACATGACAAATTTGAATCAGACATGAAAATATAAACTGAAGTGGAGGTGGGTTGCAAAGTGGCTTGCAGTAAAAATCGACCCCCTGTCAATTCTGAGGTTTTACAGGACATAATAAAAAAATGATCTGATCCTTTTATTGCATGAGTAGCTAATCACCATTGATTGATGAGTTTCCTTCACGATTAATAAAGTTTTATAATTTGAAATAGCATATTACATTGTGTCATTAAACAAACTTCCTCATTAATCTTTTCTCAGACCACAGATTAAGATTCATGTTGGGAAATCTGTTGCTATTTAGACATTTTAAACATTTAGCACTATAAATAATCTGAACCCTGCTTTCCCTTTCAGATGCTGTGAGAAGACGATGGAGGTGATGAGAAGTTCTCAAGAAGCTCTGTTGACTATTGTGGAGGTAAAATCATGCTCTAAATATTATGTTTTATTCCATAACTTCATATTAAGGAGTGCTTTTGTAAGTTTCTGTGTCTTTGTGCGTTTTAAATAGGTGCTGCTGTATGACCCTTTGTTTGACTGGACCATGAACCCCCTGAAAGCTTTTTACCTGCAGCATGACGAGCAGCAGGAGCTCAACGCAACGCTAAGCTCCACTATGGGGGGAGATGACATAGACAACAGCCGTAAATCCAGGTAATCAAGGAGAGAAGTGTCAGAATCGGAGCTGGCGAGGTTTTGTGTGTGTGTGTTCAGGCTCTTCCCCTCATATTCTTTCCAGCAGTGACAGTCAGAGCTTCAACAAGGTGGCGGAGCGGGTGCTGCTGCGGCTGCAGGAGAAGCTCAAGGGAGTGGAAGAGGGAACGGTGCTCAGCGTGGGAGGACAGGTCAACCTGCTCATCCAGCAAGCCATGGACCCCAAAAACCTTAGCAGACTTTTCCCAGGATGGCAGGCCTGGGTGTAGACTGGAAAAAAGTGATATCAGGGAAAAAGTGCAAAAAAAAAAAAAAGAAGTTTATTTTGGTTGAAAAAAAGAGAGGTGGGAATTTTCATTCCTTTTTGTACGACTCTAATAAAACTGACTCAACAGATCAACATTAGGAATCAAGCCAAATCACAAAAATTATTAAAAAAGACCAAATAAATGTGTGTGTGTGTGTGTGTGTGTGTGTGTGTGTGTGTGTGTGTGTGTGTGTGTGTGTGTGTGTGTGTGTGTGTGTGTGTGTTTGGAAGGCTGACATGTTTGCTGTGCATGTTTTATGTTTCACCCAGATGAATGTGAATGTTGCTAAGTGACTGTATGAATGTGAAGTACCATTTAAAGCCTTCTCCAGGCGTCATTTCATGTCTGTTCTTTATTATCAGGTAAAATGTTTTTGTTCTTTTCCTGTGCATTGAATATAAGGCTGCTTTGTCAAATGAGTACTGTATCATTAAATAAATAAAAAAGCAGTCAATCCAAAAGCATGCTGGCCTGATTAATGCATTTCATTTTCACTTTAAAATATCCTCTCCATATTTTCTTGTCGCTCAGCCACTGCATCACTGAAACACGCTGTGTCTACCTGCCTATACATCATGTTTTCAATACCTTTCCACTGCACACTCGGCGTTACAGTACTCACTCACTGCTCTGACACTTAAGCAGATAACACCTGTGTCATGTTTAGACTCGCCAACTCGTCATTGTCTTTGCTGTGTGCTCAGGAGGGAAACAAACTGATGCTGTGTGAAGTGTAGGCGTGACAGTTTTCATACAAACTCTTTATTTGATCGCATCCATGAGCAGAGCGGAGCCTGGGAGGAGATGCCGGAGGTGCTGGCAGTGATGTGGATGAGATTATCTGAGTGAGATTGCTGCTGGAGTTATCACAGGGGGATTTTATTTCAATTTTTTCAAAATACAGATGATTAAACAGAAAATGACCACCAATCTGGTGAGTCTGCATTTAATCAGCCTTGAGAAGAAGACCTGCTTTCAATTTATTTTAAGTATTGTAACTTTACAAAAACACTGTTGCTCTGCCAAAAGTATCTGGACGCTTGTCCTCACTTCATCCGTGAATATGAGAAGATGAAACTTCCTGCGCTCGCCGAATCAGATGTTCAACCCCAGTATGTTCACAATGTGGCGCTGAAGCCTCCACCTGAGAGCAGTCCCTCCATCCCCAAGCACAAAGGTATTTGAGTGTCTTTTAATACAGTTTGAATACTTTACACGACTGTACAGATACTAGGCACGTCATTTGGACGCATGTAACGAAAAGTCTCATTAGAAACTGTTCTGTGTATAAAATGTAATCGTGAAGCTGGGTGTGAGTGGGTTTCCAGTCACGGTGAGTGCTCTTCTGTCAGATTTCAAACACAGGTGCATCAAGTTCACTGTTGCTGCTGTCATCTCCTTGCTGCTGCTGCTGCTGCTGCTGCTGGCTGGAGTCCTCCTTGCCTATTACTGTAAGTGAAGGATTTATTTAGTGAACTGAGTCAACATTAGTGAGATTGGAAGACTGATTTTTTTTTTCTGGTTCCTGTCTTCAATTCCAGTTTCTTCATCCTGTATTCATGGGATTAAATGTGGAGATGGGAACCGCAAGTGGGAGTCCCAGTGGTGTGATGGGGTTACAGACTGTCCCGCAGGGCAGGACGAAGCTAACTGTGGTAAGCAGCTTCATGGTGGGAAGAAAAAGCTTCTCTGTCCTCCACCTTTAGATTTGTTCAATAAAGCTGAATGAAACACACTGATAAGAACCTGGTTTACAAAAAAGAAAAACTTGGAAAACAACAAATGAAATGTGGACTTTTTGGGGGGGAAGTTTAATGCTTTCCCATTCTCGCACTGACAAGATTTCATTTCGGAGCCTCTTTTGTTGCATTTTTTGTTTCATAGCGCACAAAATATTTGCAAAGGGGGACAGGTCTGGACTGCAAGTGGGTCCATTTTTCATCTTGACTACTGGCACCTTGCATTGTCTTGCAGAAATGAACAAAACTAAGGACATCTCTGGAAAAGACATCTTCTCCATGGAAGTGTTATGCTGCCCTAAAAGCTGAATATATTATTAAGCCCTAATGAGACCTTCACATATGTGTAAATTACCCACACTGTGTGCTCTAGTGCCCCATGCAATCATCCGTTCTGTTTATTAGCCAGCAGATGAAGCTTCTCTGGGATTTCCAAAAAAATGGAAATTCCCCCCCAAAATCCTCTAAAACCATACTTCTTCACAGAGTTGTGAAGCTCTGTTTACACCCAATGGTGCTGCTGACCTGTTCCCAGGTAGCCTCATTAGTTGTTATCTTGATGCACGCTCAATAAAAGAAGGTGAGAGAATCCCAGAAAGTTAACTCTGTTCATCTGGATTTCCAATCTTTGAAAACAAGGTCAGAGTTTATACAACAGAACAGTTTGATGCTTTTATAGGTTTGTTTTTTCTGGAATCATCCATATTCCTCATGATGAGATAATGAGATAATATGTAGACTGAAGCATTTATCTTTCCTTGTTAACTGCCAGTCCTTTGTGTGCTTCACTCTCAACTGGCTGCCTCTTCACCCACTTTCCACTTGTGACAAAATGCCAAGTCATCGCTTGTGTTTGCTGTTTGTGCTCAGTGAGGCTGCACGGCTCCAGTTTCCTGCTTCAGATCTACTCTACTCAGAGTAAAGCCTGAAAATCTGTTGGTTCTCATGGCTGGACCGAGGAGAAGGGCAGAGCGAGCTGCCAGAGCATCGGATACATCAGGTGAGATGCTCAGCTAGTTCAGTCCGAGATGAAACAAAAGCTGCTCTGTGAACGATTTTCAAGCGATGCTCAATTTTTTTTTTACAATTTGTGCTTTGACAGGGGCACGTATTTTAAATCAGGCCAGCAAAGGGCTGATGCTAATGATGGATTCTTACTAGTGAAGTCTAACTTCAACCCTCAGGCATCCATACTGCAACAACTTGCCCTACAGTGAGTGAGCTGGTAATGATAAACCTGTGTCAAAATGCTAATATTGATATGATATTAACCTGATCTCATTCCAAATGTCTTTTTTCCTCCAATCCTTAGAAGTACATGTCCTAACAACATGGTGTTGACATTGCACTGTACTAGTATGTCTTTATACTTTCTTAGAAATGAACCAAATCACAACAACAATTACCTCAAGGTGCTTTATATTATAAGGTAAACCCCCTGGAAACAAACCACCAACCTTTCACCTGGCAAGTGAATTACAAACACATAAAGGTTTATTCCTGTTAAAAGGGAGGTTTTCCTTCCCACTGTCACCATGTGCTGGATCACAGAAAGCGGTGTGTTAGCTGAGGTTTCTTTCTAATAGCGTAGGGCATAGGTGTCAAACTCTGGCCCACGGGCCAAATTTGGCCCGCAGCCTAATTACATTTGGCCCGCGAAGCCATACCAAATTACTATTAGAGCTGGCCTGCTGGTATTACACAGCTAATATATATATTGTTTAGTATTAAGCTTTGCTTGTTCCATATTCAGTTTTTCAGCAAAACCTGTTTGAGTCCATAAGAAAAGATTCATTCTTATATCTGGAGGAAGTTTTTTTTTCATATAAATGTTAGCCCGCGACTTTGTTCCAGTTTTGAATTTTGGCCCACTGTGTATTTGAGTTTGACACCCCTGGTGTAGGGTCTCTACAATATCAAACCTCAGTGAGAGCGACAGTGGGAACGAAGAACTCACTGTTAGCAGGAAGAAACCTCTGGCAGAACAAGGCTCAGTTTGGGAATAGGGCGAAAGAGAAGAGAGCAGAGAGAGACAAGACAGGCAAAGTATAGTGAGAACCAAAAGTTGCTAATTACTAATGATTTAATGTAGTAGTGGAGTGCATCCAGCATATCAAAAAGAACATTTCAAGCCTAATATTAAAAGCAGGAGGTTGTCTGTCTCCTGAATCCAATCTGGGAGTTGTTTCCATAGTTGAGGATAGCTGAAGGTTCTTCCTTGCAATCACACTGGTTTTTTTCAGTGTGTTGTTGAGTTTTGTCTCTCTGAAAGCCTGTAGCTGTAGAATGCTCTAACAGCAGCCTCCTTTTTCAGATTGTGGAAGCAGGGTGAACTCCAGCAAGGCTTCTGCAGGACAGCTGGCCTCCCTTGGGGCTGTGCCCTGGCAAGTCAGCCTCCAGGTTGCCGGCTCTCACCGCTGTGGAGGAGCCATCGTCTCCCCCTACTGGATAGTCACCGCCGCTCAGTGTGTGACCTGGTGAGTCCTCCACCTTCACCTTCACCACCCTTCAGTAACCGTGGTTTGATCCAGCTTTAATCAAATCTCTGCTGGTCACCCCCCACCTTTGCAGGGCCACCAGTCCTGCAGACTGGGCAGTATGCTGGGATAGTGGACCCATTAGGCCCTCTGTTTAACCCTGCTTACTCGGTGCGTCGCATTATAACTCATGAGAGCTACAACAGCCAGACCCTGAAAAATGACATTGCTCTTATGAGGCTCTCCCAACCTTTGGACATAACAGGTGCTTATGATGAGCCCCTTCATTACATTATTTTAATCACCTTTTAGTTAATTGAAGTTATTAATTATTATTTAATATGGACTGAGATGTGGTGACTGCGGAGATCATTTGAGTTCAGTGAACTCACTGCCATGTTCAAGAAACCAGTCTTTTATATTGCGGCCCACATACAGCCCACTTTCATCTTATCTGATTTCTGTAAGTTTAAAAATTTTACCTACACATTTAATAAATGAGAGACCCTAATATAGGACAAAAAAAAGGGTGATTTCAACATTATTTCTCAGTTTTTCTTACATGGTGAAGAAATGCTGCTTTAGTAAACTAAAACAATCTGTCAGCATGGGTTTAAATTGTAAGAATAAATGTATAAAGTTACAGAAATCAATTAGTTAATTACTTTGGTGTACTGTTTTTTATTAAAGCTGTAGAACTTGTGAAAATACAGTTAAAATTCCCACATTTATGTCCTCCTTTTCCCAACGCCATCCAGCAGGCCGGATTGAGGTCAATGCTGGACCAAATCTGGTCCCTGGGCCTCATGTTTAATACCCCTGGTTTAAAGGAAAATATCTGAACCTGCTATTTGAATGTTGGCTCACATCAGACCATGCAACATTTCTACTGCCTGATTTTGTTGAGCAGGTGCAAACTGTAGCCTCAGTTTCCTGTCAATAGCTGACCGTGTGACCCTCTGCTGCTGTAGCCCGTCTGCTTCAAGGTTCGATGTGCTGCACATTCAGAGATGCTCTTCTGCATAATTTGATTGTAACGAGTAATATGAGTTAACTCTCGTGTGCAAAGTCCCTTAAATCACCTATTAAATCCCCATTCTCCATTCAGTTCAAACTTCAGCACCCTGTCACGTTTGCATGCCTAAATGCATTGGGTTGCTGTCATATGACCCATATACATCACATGATTCAGATATTTGCTTTAAGAATCAGCTGAAATGTGTACCTAATAAAGTGGCCAATGAG